TGCAGCCCGCTAGTTTCACTTGTCTCACGTTGCGATCTCAACTATTTTCCAATAAGCAGGAGCCGCTTCGCGCGTGTCATGTCATGCAAATTGCAACGTCTGGTGAAGTTTCACTGCCTCTTAACCTTTTAATATTATATACAGTGATATAATGTGTGCAGATCAGTAATAGCATAGACCACATGATCACGTGCTAGTGCTTAACTTTATTAGCTATTATAGAAAATAAAGCTAATTTTATAAATATCAATTCTCCTAGACTGAATTTAGCTATATATAATTTGATAACACGGTAATGAGGCGATTACCAGAGATATGATAAGACTAAGAACCGGAAAACAGCTGCAATTTCGATATAATCTGCAGTGATTTAGTAACTTTAGCTTATTCAACGAAATCTTTAAACGTTTTTAAACATTTCTTCTTTTACAGAACTTGAGTATAAAAGTGATTTATAGCTTATCTTCATGTTGCGTTCAATTTAATCAAAAGATCAAAGTAAAACTGCAATTTGCTTATTAACAGACCCTATTGTTGTACTATTTTTATTTTTGTTTCAGAATTTTTGTTATAGAATGAGGTAATTATCTGTTCACAGATCACCCTCTAAAACCTACAAGGAAATATTTCCTGTAGATTCTCGGTATACATAATTACATAAAGCAATATTTGACAGAGCATCTTGTGAAGTGAGCTATGTGCCTAGCCTTTTATGGCGAACTCGGTGAATGTCCTTGCTGTACGGCAGTGTTAAACAAGGAACTGAAACCGAGGGGTTCCGTTCAGGCCCTTCACACTTTGTTTCTGTCTGGTTCTAATATACCGTTACAAAAATGACTTTAATATATATATAATAAAGTTATTATATATAATAACTGCTGATTACAGTTAGCACTTTCTCATAATTGACATTCCTTCTAAATGTTATATTTTCTATTTTGCTTCATCAAAACTGCAAGTTGAAGGGTTGGTAAAGTCGTACCGAGAAAACATGAAGCAATCAATCACCTTAGCAATGCAATTAGTGATAGTTACTAATAATCATTCGACACTGAACTCGCGCGTGGGAGAGACAATGAATTTTCCCATCTTTGCAAAGTGGCAACGCTAGCGCTCTAGTGATTGGGTACGGGACAATGACAAATCACTCATCTCATTACTTCAAATCAGCAAGAATTTCCTGAAAGTTATCTATCTTCTGCTAATTTGACCAATTTTCTTGCTTTGATCATTCGAAGTCTAATAGTCCTTTGTCCACCGATACTTGGTATGTGTTTCTATCGGAGTATGGAGAAACACATTGAAACGTTTATTTTGTATCTGGACAATACAATTACAATGGATGTGTTAATATAATCAAGTTGTTCGGCAAGCCTTACTACCTATGTAGTATTATGTTACAACATGTATATACAGGGTAGACCGTCTACCTATATAACCAAGCTCTCCTTTGATTTTTCTTGTGCTTGACATTGGAGCATCGGTATTTCGTCAAACGATCTGTGTGAAATGATTTGGTTATGGGTAACTTTCAGAATTCCTGTCGTTTTTATTCATTTTCATTGAGCTAAGACATTAAAACTAGGAGGGACCCACAATAAGACCCGACGATAACCGATTTGTCAGTTAACGTCATAACTTTGAAAGGTTAAATGTCTACTTATACCATCCGTTGCATCAACAGACGTTTATTCCAAAAACACCTGAGAACAATTTATTTGCAGTTGGTGAGGAATACTTTGAGGGAAGTCTAGAATCATTCCTCTCCCTCAAACGGCATTTACGAGCAGAGATTTTGCTTTAAATTTTGAATATTCACTATTTAGATTTTACAGCTTGATTTAAAAAACATTGACCCTTATTTTCTACTTTGTATTCTCCAAATTCATTCCAATTAATTCGCACCAACCGTGCAAGAATGTAAAAAGGATTCCCATGGGACAGATCCTCATCAATTTAGCCCCATTGAAACGACCCGCTAATTATTTGTCACAATCTATTACTCAAATTACCTCACTCGCCAAAACAAATGAAACATTAGCTCGTTCCTTTCACAAGGTCCCTCCAAGTTCAAAATGCAATTTACAGCCCTCGTCACGTTGATAATGTGAGGAATCATACAGGTGAAACGTATCTTATCATATCCGCCTCAGGAATGTGAGTTTTGTCCATGGCAGGATAGGGAGCGACCTCGTATCAGGAAGACAATTCCTCTTCAGGTTGTCTTCAGGATAATCCAGTATAAAAGTTATTGGGTTCAAGCGATTCTAAAATTGTGCGCTGTCTCAATAACTTCAATATTGATAGCGAACGTGTAGCTTAAATTGCGATGATTGCTGATCAGCCGTGTTGGTTGATATTCTTACTTTTATTAAGTTTATATTATTATCTAATATTCATCTTTTGTTTTGCAACTCGTCTTTCCCAAGTTGAACAAATTCTTTTACAGATTCACCTTTCTTTGAAAAACTACAACTCACCCTTGTAATAAAATTGTGAGGTTGCGTTTACATGAATCACATGGAAGATTGGCGTCGAAAATTCTTACGTTATTTACACTATTTAGTTATAGAATTATTAGAATTATCCAGTATTCTTATATCTTTTGTCCTGTTTATGTATCCCATACAGCTTCACGAAGAGATAAGCAATCTGTAGAACTTATTCTCTCTTCTCCATACCAATCAATACTTACGTCTCAGAAAACTTAGATATTCAGCTTAGATTAGCATTAATACTGAAATATGTGCTTAGTCGCAAATAGTTGAAGTTAAACTTAAAGTTGGCTAATTGTTCAATTGTTATGCTGACCACTATAATTTGGATAATCAAAGAGGGATATTAATTCATATTAGAGTATTAGGCATATCGGCACCGATGTTTGCAACGAATCTTTAGTTACTGCACCTGTACACTCTTATCAGATTTTCTCTTATTAGATTTTATTCCCGTTCATTCTGCTGTTAGTTAGGGCGAGAATAGAAATTCATGGGACCATCTGTGAATAAATTCGTAACAAAGGTTTCTCTACAGGAATGTGTTGTCCATAGTCCCAGGAACCACAAAAAACCCGTCCTGCTGAAATTCCTGTAGAAAAACCTTTGTTACGAATTTATTCACAGGGTTTGTTACTCTTTCCCTAGCTATGTGTGGAATTTAAATTCAAAAGCAAAACAACGATCCCTGTAACTAATGCATTCTGTTCGTGTTATATATCTTCAGGTAGGATCATAACTAAGACGTATAGTTACTACTTAATCTCCAAGGGTTTGCGCGAAGATTAAAGCTGGCTTATCTTGTTGAATGTTGATCTGGCAGCTATAGTCAAAGTGGGATATTAGTTCATATTAGGCAATTGGTACTTGGTACTGATGTTGGTACTGATATATCCATCACTTTGTGATGAACATGTTGTTGCTATGAACCTTTAGTTGCATTTGTACAACTCTAGTTGTGAAAGGATCCTTCGCGATAATTCTGCTGTGTGGAATTGAAAGTGAAAAGCAAAACAACAATCAACATATTATAACTAGTGTATTCTCTTCGTGCATGGCACTGTTGTCTCGTAGGTATGTAACATGACAAATCATGAGCCAATCTCTTACGTCATCATCACTAATTTATAATACGTGGAAACTAGAACTCCTAGTTTGGTAGATCCTTGTCCTGGTTATTATTACCAATTTGTTGCTGGACGTTGTCCACTTTCTGTATTGAATCTTCTGGAGCGCCCCTGCTGCAGAGGTGACTGTTTAATTTTATAATGAGGTAAACGATGATCGGTGAGATGCCTATGTGTTTTGATGCGTCATTGTTCGATAAATCACCATATTTTACATAACATAAACCACCATATTTTACGTAAAGTGAACGACCATATTTTACTTACTTTACAAGTTTACATACCGTTATCAACGGTCACAGTCCTATCCATGACTTGTGTATATTCCTGAGAACTTAATAACTATAAAAGCAACGTCTATAAGGTGATAATATTATCCGCTTTATGGTTTGTACTACTGCGTCCGTCCATGACGATGGATTTGACATTGACTCGTACATATCTTATTAGTTATGATATTACTTTTGTATATTTGTTGCATGATTTAGGACGTCATGGCAGCATGCCCGCTGCAATATAACAAAGAATACAATAGGTACCTTTTCAATTCCATCACGCCTTGCAATCACAACCATTGTACCACAGTATTCGAATCAGATTGCAATTTCGTTTATTATTCGGTCACCTGATTCGGACAAAAGTCGCTGTCGGACAAAAGTCGTGTTAGTGTTACCACGTGTCATCGGAAGCGCATTCTGAATTCTTGATCTTTGCGACTACAACTGTGTTACTGTGTTATCTCTATCCTTGCACTGAGCCCGCACGGAGAGTCACTTAATGTAGTGGAAGTGTCCTAACCCACTTTGGGTGTCTGCTCAACCCGTGTGTTTCTGCAAGTCTACACCGTTCTTATTTTCTAATTGAATTACAGGGAGAGGGACAATAAACGCTTATCTTCGCGCCTATTGTAAGTAAACCCATGCGCTTGTATAATGGTATAATAGTTTGCTCAGAATATTTTGCTCAGAATATATAATTGTAATTACGTTATTATGCAATTATAAACTTTACACACGTTAAGACCAAGGCTGTACGTTGAAACATGTTATTTTTCAGATATTGACGTATCGGGTGATACCCAAGTTTATCCGATCATCTGATTGTGAATCATTTAATTATCTTGTTGCAATGTGCCCGTTTACTGTGAGGTTGAGGTATTTTCACGACGCAAATACCTTAGTAATAGGATTGTGGTCAAATGGACCGAGTACCAAAGGTTTGGTCACCAGCATAAGTTTACAGTCCGCTTATTGATTTGTAATTATTTGATGACTAACGAAAGGCAGATGCAATTTACCTATTTAAATTTTGAGGTCATTTGTTTGTTATCACAGCACCGGCTTGGTACTATATTTACTCTTCTCCTTCTCTAGACAGTACACATTCTCCGGTTAGGAGCACATTCCTTCACAACATTCATTACTTCTGCTTTTTGTTCACGTATACCTCGGAAAACTTTAACATTGTTGACTAGCTGGAAATAATCAGACGGGCTACTTCAAATAAGTTAATTATGTAATTAAAGAGCCGTTTTTACCGTTTATGCTATATACTATATATTTGTTTCGCCACTGCTAAATTGATTTAAGTCTATGCTTCTATGATTATATATCGTAATTCAGAAATGTAACGTCAAGTTATATCGTATAATATATTTGTTGCGTTATAGAAGCTATAGAAGCTATATAGAATGCTAAACAAGATTTTATACTCTTGGAACAGATTTCTGAGTAAACCTACGGCCCCTGCAGGTCAGCTTGATGTAAAGTTTTAAAATAAAGGCTGTCAACCCTTTTCATCGTCAAGATGTCTTATTTTCGTTACTGTTACAAGTACCTTTTCAAATTTCAAAGCAAGTTTTTTAGTTTCAAGACACCACCGATAGCTATTTGATCCCATAAAATGTTATTGACTCTTGCTTTATTATATCGTAAAGATGTCGCATTTTTGTTACTTGATAGAACCTTTTAAAATTTAAAAGCTGGCATCGTAGCTTCAAGAAGCCACCAATCGTTATTTTAATCCCAAATTCCTTTAATACAAGGTTTTCAGCTCAGGCTTTATCGCTATTATTTGAACTGGTCTACATATTTTAATCGTCTATTCGTTATTTGGCTCAAATTTTTTCAAACATTAAGCTATTAAAGTAAATCTTTTCCACTAAGATAATTAAAACATTGATAGCGCCTAATCACCTGGGTACAGCACTATGGTAGGAGGAAACAGCACAGCTGCACCGAGCAGTTCAACCACTTTCCTATTCAGCACTTCAGAGAGAGCCTCCACCCACGACTACAGTCTAGATGTGTACGAGAGAACCTTCCTTATCATCTTCGAGCTGATTTGCACTGTCCTCACCATCCTCCTCAATGGATATCTCATCTTCACCATCGTCTTCAAGGTAATCCTGATTACACTGACAGTTTCGTTTACTTTTTAAACTGTAGATAAATTATTGCATTTTAAAATGAAATAATTTGAACAAAAGCCTAAGAACACCCTGTGATATACTTATTTTATTCCAGTTGAAAATCAGCAAGAACTGTGTATTTATTCCTATGCTTACTGCCGCTGCATTGGGTCTGTTTCACGGATTTGGCTGCAATCTTATGATGACAATATCTCTGATACACGGTGACTGGGTCGGTTCTATCAACTGGTGTGGAGCTGCAGCCAACATTCACAAGTACATCATCTACAGCATCATCTACATCCAAGTTTTCGTCTCCCTCGAGGTACTTAAATGTCAATCTGTAAATTAATAATTTAAGGATAGTTTTTTTTGAAATACATTAGCATTAAAACAGAACTACCCAGTCAAAGTTTTCCCTTACAAAACGTTGTTTTGATTGATTGGTTTCCGGAGAAGTATTTACTTTAAATAAAATAATAAAAACAACAAATTTCAGGCAGCATACCTAATCAGCCACCCTCACGGCTACTCAAGATTCAGCCGCAAAGCAAAGATTTCTGCAACCCTCGCTACAGTCATTGCTGTTTTCCTCAACTTCCCTATCACAATTTGCCAGTTCTTTTTTCTCAAGCCTAGCAATATTGTTGAATTTAGTGATAATTATAAGTATACCTATGATGAATTAAAGAAAATTAATCGTTATTTTTACTTCGATGCAGACCTGATCATCTGTTACCGTTTTTTCTTCCCGAAGACCCTAGATTACCATGTGATAGTGTACTTCATCCACACTTGCAACCTACTAGCAGTGGCACTGACCATACTCTCATACGGGGTCATCATCCGGACTGTACTGAAACTGAGGGGCAATCAAAAGACACCCTCCTCCAAATCACTGGACCACCAGCATCAGCGACGATCGGAGAGGCAAGTAAAGCAGAACAAGAGGATAGCCCTGATGTCCCTGCTCACAACCACGTGTGTGTTGACCCCCTGGTTACTGAGTATGGTGGTTAGCTTGCTTCTTGACATTATAGATTACCAAGACTGGGTAGAGACTTTGGGGATTGATGGAGCCACAACTCTGCTGCGGGCTAACCAGTATCTGTACTACATTGTGACGTGGATATTTCCTATCATGACCATCATGGCTAATTCAGCTCTGTCAAGGGCTGCTAAGGAAATGTTGACCAATTTAACGACCTTTGACTTTGAACTACCCTCCATGGCAAATATGAGTGTCGCTAGGTTTAATGTCAAGCAGCAAGGCCATGAGTCCCCGAATAGTGTTCATTTGTAATCGAAATTGCTGTCTAAATTTCTTATTGTTCCTGGGGTGTGCGATTCGTTGCCATGGTTGAATTGTGCTTTAATCAAGTACGGTCAACAATCTTAAACATTGTGGACCTCGGCGATATTTTTTAACGTATTAGTATTATTCTGTTCATTAATAAATCCAAAATAATCTATTATTTTCGTCTTTTTTACTAGCTGTTTGTCTGTTTGAATATTATTTATCAGATTGAGATTCAGTTTTCATTGTTGCTCCTATCATTATTTTAACACTAAATTTTAATCTTGCGCAATTGTCAGTGATTTATAAATAAACCTTTTCTTTTGATAAACGAGTATTTTTGGTGTCCTTTAACAGTATAACATAACAACTAAAATTCGAAGCAAAAGATCAACCTGCAAATTATTATCTTAAAATGAGGAGAGACTTCCTCATCATCTTCTCATCTCTTGTCAAGCAAAATCTTTAGATACAAAATTTCATAAATCGCATTCCATATATTCTCACAGGGCGGCGCTCAGTCAGTCATTCTGCCATATTTCCATGTGTTTATGATCACTAAGCCTGGGGTCCCCAGGTAACAATATTCCCACCGGAGTCCTAAATAGCCCGAAGGGATCTAACCCAGTCTCTGTTCGCCCTAGCATCGGGGCCCGCTAGTATTCTGTGATCTTGCAGCACTGGTACCCCTGGAGTGGTTGCCAGCATGGCCCTAGGATCTCTGGGGCAGAAATGGAGTTATTATCTGTTAACCGTAAAATTGGTTAATGAGCTAGTGGATTGATGAATGGTAAACCATTAAAATAAATATTGATATAATGATGGCAGATACTATTAACAACTAAATCTTGGGACATGGTATACGTCAGATAGTTTTTATCGAAATTTTACCCATGGTCAGAAATATAAGGTTTTTCAGTCGTGGTGGTTCTAGAGATTTCACCCTCAGTATTGTCTATTGCACTTTCAAATTCTATCCCGATCGCTTCGGAGGCTGCTGCTCTGATAAGTTATTATAAACTAAATAAATACTTTTGATAAATACAAAGCACATTACAATCGTACGAATAGTTTGCCTCGTGAATTAAACGATAATGGAGTTCTGTTGAAAGAAACTTGCCTTTCTTTATCTCTGGGGGAGGATGCTCGACACAAGTTGTTCCATCCTGTTGGCTGAGGAACTTTGACAAGGACACCCTATCTTGATGATCATTCGAGACTCCTGGTGTCCCAAACAATTGATACCTCCCGTCTGATGTTTTACTTGGTACCTGTTGAGATTTGGGGTAATTTTTAACAATAACATCCTGCTCTAGATTAGTGTAAACTGATAATGATGCAAATGGTTTATAGTGACTAGTAATGGTTCAAATTAGATGTATTAAATTTTATGATCTGTAATGTGCTCAACTAAACCCGTCAGAACGCCCCTATGTAGTACTACTACTACTACTATGTCGGAACTAAGTCCGATCTACGCCAGATAACCCCTCCATATATCCATGTCCCGCATCAGAGTTCGCAGTTCCTCTTTAGAGTTTGTCCCAACTTCCTCCAGTAACATAGACAAGTAGTAGACTATAGACTATGCAGTTAAACTGTAGACATACCATCAGCTTTTTGTATAGCAGCTTTTTAGACTTTACATTGCAGTTAATCCTATTGGCTGTTGTAACTTTCCAACGAGGACGGATATTCTGAGCATTCTTCTTCTGTCCGGTCATATTCCGTAGTTTCTGAAACAAACGAGTCAGTTAAATTCTTTGATAATTGCTGCACTGATAGTGATAATTATTTGTTTAAAGTAAGTTAGAAGTTGTTAGTTATTTATAGTAAGTTCTATTACTATTGATAATGTAAGGCTTATTAATTGTCGATTAAGTCCCAAGTGCTAAATTGTTACTCTGCAAACTCAACTTGTCCCAGACTCATCTTTTAAAGGAAAATGTTTCCGTAATCTTTGACAGATGGCACTTATACTCAATAGTTGGACTAATTTTGTACAGACCAATGTGAATGAACGTTACCCTGAAATCTGAATGTCCTCCTAAGAGTTTGCTTAGGCTTATGAGGTTTAGAATAGGAAAGGAAGACTTTCACTTATTTACCTCATTATCCTTACCTGGATTCTGGAGATTTGAGCTTAACAAACTTACAAACGGTGAGGAATTTCGCAAACTTAGAGACGTGTTAAGAAAAAGGACAAGAGACGAGCACTTACCATTACGGCATTACGTAACACTTAAGTGACTCGTTCGTTTTATTTTAATCTTATTATGCTTCAATGATGATATACAGAAGTATAGAGCAGAGTCAGTTTATTATTAGTTTATTCTATCAATGGAAAATATAATCACAAGTTATGCATCAGCGTCGGTGGTTGAGTGGTACAATTCTCGCCTGCCACGCGGGAGGCCCGGGTTCGATTCCCGGCCGACGCAGTATTTTGTACTGCAAATTGATATAACTAAACTTTGTCCCAGACTCCTGACTCACCTTGTCCCAGGCCACTGGTGATTCGTACGGTGACCTTCTGCAAATATCCCTGTTACTGTCCTTCGCTCGTAGACTGGTCTTGGATACTTTCACTGTCTCACCGGCTCTGGGATGATTGGAGTTTTTATGTTGATTGTTAGAGTTTTAACATGTTTGAACCGAGAATAAGCGACAAAAAATGTAAAGAGTAGTGACTGGTCGTTGGATAATGAATTAGTCTGCTCAAAGTAAGTAAAACTGCTGGGCGTATATGATTTTTGACAACAAGCTCACTTTTTGCTCAAGGTAGACTGCTCTTCGTTCTTATCATCGTCCCCGGACTCCGTTGCTGGAAACATTCCTTTTGGTCGTTCTGGAATGACTTTAACTGAATGTTTAACATCATTGGTAGTCAGTTTCGATACACGGGGTTTTTGAGTTAGCTTCTTTGTTGATTTCACCGGAGACTTCATGTGAGCTGACGATGCAATTGTTGGAGCCATCAGCGTTCTTTTCTGGGGTCTCTCTGTTTTCTCGGCTGTCTCTATATTTGGTTCATCCTGAAAACAATTCAGTAAGATTTCTTTTGCATATCAGTTTATGTTTCGGTTGTGCTATTTTAAACAAGGGTTTGTCAGCCAAAAGATATGCTTCATTGATTAAGGGTATATTACCTCCATGTTGAGTGTTTCAGTTGGAAAGATTGGTGCCAGGTTCTCAGCTGAAAGCTTGTAGATAATATTGTTCCACAGCACCATGAAAGTGTTATGAAGTCTCTCATCTGGCTTAATATTCTCTTTTGGGACAGTAACACCCCCTGGTGTGAGATACACTTTATAAAAGTCAGGGATCACCGGTTTGAGACCATCGTCAGTTTGCTTCATCGTAAAGATGAAGTTCGAGTGCACAAGCTGTGTTATTCCATTCGAGGTGACTATTTTGAACCCAATCTTGTTGGGAGCATCCCCAATGTTTTCTGCTGGAACAGTAACATATATTCCGTCTAAAAACACCTGGCACAATTCCCCCTTATCCTCGCTCTTCTTCCCCTCATCTTCATCCTTGTACTCAGCAATCTGTGACTGTTTCAGTCGTACACTCCTATCATCTACTCGGGCTATAAAAGTTTCTGGCTTCTTCTTACTTGGTTTCAGTTGTTTCTTCTCGATGGTTTTCCAGATTCCTCCAACTAGAACCCTTACCTTCTCGTTCACTTTTGGCTTATCTACTGTGTAGCTAGTACTGCTGATGTGTCGAGTTCTTCTCGGGGTAACTGTCATGTTCTTAACATGTTCTGTTATAGTCTCTACGTTTGTGGTTATATTCGCTGATGCTACTGGGTTTCCTCTCTTGGTATCAGTGGAAGGAATTGTTGGATTGAGAACTGTTGTACCAGTGGGGAAAGTGTCCATATTGTTGGGACCTTGTGGTACAGTGTAGGTTGCTGGTAAAGTGTAGGTCGGTGTGAAGGCATGGTGGGTTGGTAATGCAGCTTGTATTGTATCTGCTGTTTTCGGATATGGTTTTGCCTGGGAACAGAACTATTCTTAATTATAGGAGCCTGGAATGGAGCAGGGTTGTGTAGGTTTGTCTGTGGGAACTGTTGATTATATCTTGTTGTCTGGAATGCGTGAGGAGGAGGGTTCACAGTAAGGTCCTGCCTCAGTTGTCTGTTAGGGGCGGTGAGACCTGTCACCTGGGGAACAGTAACCTGGGGAACAGTCGCCTGGGGAACAGTTACCTGTGGAACAGTAACCAGCAGAGTATTATTAACTGGAACTACATTCACTGCAGTTACATTAAAAATCTGACCCTGATACGTGACATTGTAAAATCCAGGCATCTCCCGACTGGGTGTTACTGCAGTGCTTGGTAATGTCAGCCACGTGTTATCCAGCTTAACATTGTACGACTGCATGAACGGTGGGAAAGTAGGTTTCGGAGCAAATTGGTTGCTATTTGGAGAAAACTGACTGATATTTTGAGCAAACTGATTGGCATTCTGAGCAAACTGGTTGCTATTCTGTGCAGGAATCTCGGTGGTATCATCATCAGTGTCGTCAGCATTCACTCCACCCAGCCCTCCAACAGTCTTATCCAGACCTCCTGACACCACATCATTCTCAGTCCTGTCGACCTCTCTAATCTCTGAAGTGTGGAGAACGTACAGCTTATCCTGGTAAAGTAGTCGGTAGTAACCTTTCTTAGATCGCATGGGTTTAAGACTTGAACCCAGCACGATTACACTCTCACCCTCTATAGTAACCTCGTAAGACTGGTTGGGGTAAACCTCAACTCTCTTCTGTGTGAGCTCTGGAGTGGCGAATGAGGGGTCGTCATTCATGTTGAGCCCGTATTTCTGACGAAAACGAGCAGCCATGGTAGATGTATTGTCAAATTTAACTTATGTTTTGCAAGTTGTATAAGTCAACTAATGTTTTGCATGAATAATGTTTGACTACAAACTACTAAAGACAACAGTAATATGATTTAAGGCAGACTGTAGAGGTCTCTGCACGGTTTTTGCATTATGCAAGCCCATCAGCCGCTGACTACCGTTTGTGCGATTCGGACATATATTATAACTGTTATTAGGTAATTATTAGGCTTATTTTCTTAACTAATTTATAAATAGTTCTTACATAATACATGACTAGCTTGTCGGCACAAATTTTTAGTACTACGCTAGCTGACATGGTTAATTCTTAGGTTTATAGGTTTATGGGTTTATAACATAAAACCTACCGAATAGGCGCCCCGACGCCCGAACCGCGCCACGTTGCCGGGTATAATCCGTAAATGGTTAACTTGTACCAAACATTTTACAGTAACACGTTAAATTAATTTGTTCGGGAAATGCCGGGGTAGGGAGAGATATGAAATGTTTAAAAATAGCTAAAAACACAAATGTATTGGCAACCTTTTACAAGACGAATATTGCAGGAAGTAAAGACGGGGAGAACTTGCAGGATACTATTCCTCCCGACGTATTTCGTGAGTTTTTACATTTAAAGATTTACCGAGAGACTGAAACTCTGAAGGCGGAGCGTTATGGCGTTCTGTGTTACGCCTGTTACATGCATGATGACGATCAGTATCGTGTTTTTATTGATCGATTGTTGATATGCTCATTGAAAGATTGAAGTAAATTCATAGCCAATTCAAGTGATTTATGTTTAGAGTTTTACCAACCCCTAAATCAGGAGTGAGGCCAGTGACAGCGCACCTGGTGGTATCGCCACCTGACATCCCTCCAGACTGGAGGCTGGATGAGGTGGCAGGGAAACTCCGGTATCACTGGAAGGACTTCGCGAGGACCTGCGGTTTTGACAGCGAGGTCGTTGATGATATCGATTCGGTGAGTTTGCTGCCAAGATACTTTGAGAATGATTTTTATTGCAAGTTTTAAACATTTCACATTCATATTGCATGAATGCAATTCAGAACATGACTATAGCCATTTTATTGACAGAATTGGCAGCATCAGCATGTCAAATCTTAAACAATGAATAATTTTGAAAAATAAATAACCGCTAAAATGATCGATGTTAATTTTGTTAAAGCAATAAACTGAACTAAACATATAACAGGTGTACTGCGGCTCGCTCAACAAGAGTATCCAATGCCTGAAGATGTGGAAGAATGAACTTGTGGGGAACGCTTCCTACGAGGAACTGGCCCGACGTCTGGGACTTATAGATCAGACACACATCGCTGTGGCGTACTGTAACTTTGGGGGAGACCGCTAACAGATTGTAGTTACACTTTAGGAGTTTAGAGTTTAAAATTGGTGTGGGAGTTGGGAATGTTATCTTTCCTCTGCCTTTTATTTTGAAACTTTTTAACCCCTGCAGCTGCATAAGTTAAAGAATTAGATTTCCCAGATTTTGATTTTGTTCGGATTAGAATAGGGTTATAAGTTATTAAGTTGTGTTAATGATAAATAAAGCTGGGGTTTGTTAGGATTGGATTGAAGGTTGAACAACTCGTTCGTCCGTTTTAACGACTGATCCAATAACTGTGATAAGTTTAATTTTGTAGTGATAATTTTAACTTTTCTGCTCGAATATGAACAATTAAGAACTTGACAGTTATTAGGGCAACTAGAACAAACACCGATGCAACAATAAGACAACATTGTATCGGTGTTTGTTCTAGTTCCCGTTATTAGATATTCGGTTGAAGTTCCTTAACAAATCTATGAGAAACTACAAATATTTATCACTTAACCTATTTGATTTCTACTTCTAGGCATGATTACTTTAAGCTTTTAAGTTCATAATTTATATTTATTTATGGTTTGAGGTTTCTGTAAATGATTATGTTAATGAAATTCATGCACTTTTGTTTAACTTATCAAAAGGGGATTTGTTTCTTTTGTAAGAATTGTAGGAATAAAACTATATTTAGCAATACCAAACTAATAAAATATCTATTGACAACTATTGAAGCAGATAATAAGGTGATTTGTTAATTAGATAGCGTTGCATGCCACTGACTCTCTGATTGTTTTCTGGAAACTGTCATCCTTTGGCAAGGGTCCTAAAGCAACTACACGTCACAAGCCATTAAAATTGGGCCCTGATTTATGTATGAAACCATTACATGAAAAATTCGACACGTTACGATAATTAAAAATGAAATATATTTGGTGGTCTGTTCGAGTACGCAAGTACCCGTAAATAAATCCGAACACTGTTGCTTTACAGATATAAAGTTCTCATGCAGAATTAATCCACATGTATTACATTTACAAGCAATACATGTTGAATCAACATTGTTGATATATCACTTGTAAACATTTTACATATCAAAGCTGTGTAATATGCTTGTCAGCTTGTAGTTGTACTCCACTAAAATGTACATTTTATTTTCTTGCTGTTTCGTGTCCCACATCCTCCTATGCTCCCTCAGCTTTGTCCGGTGAAATGGTTTGATCTTTAGTATCGTTACTTCTTATCCTGGTGGCCATCATTCTATTTTACGTTTGGAGGTGAAGACGTGATGCTTTTAGATACTTTGTCCCATCAAAATAATATAAATTTCCATTGAGCGTTTTAGTTCGTAGAATTCCAGACTAGGCTTTTAACTTAGTCGTTACGGAAGAAAGATTACACGCTACTCAGTACACAAGGAGAGTATATATTATCAGAGTAACACTAATATGCAGTGACCTCCACAGAGAGTGATAGAGTTTGTTAGTACACGCCACAACATGCTTGTTAAACAAAGTGAACACGCAGAACACCGCCGCTAAATGGCATCTAGCCGGTCTTATGCTCTCGTTTTGATGGTGGCAATTTTTAATAATTGTGTTTTGTGTTACTTATGATGGTGGTAGTTTTTAATACTTGTGTTTTGTGTTACTTATGATGGAGGTAGTTTTTAATACTTGTGCTTTGTGTTCGTTATGATATCACCGATGACGGGCTTATTGTTGATAATACGCTGTGACTCATCAGTATGATGGATATTCTGCTCCATGTCAGATTGTCAGATATCGCTTTTTAATCAAAAGACTTGGAAGTTGGCAACTTTTGGCTTTAACTTAACCTGCTTCAGTTGACTTTGGTTTCTTTTGATTGAATTAATATTTATCAGAGTAATATCATGGTGAAACAGAAGTTCCACCACCATTAGCAGCAGGTAGGTACCTAGTACACACTACAATCAGATTACACGTAGCCTAGATAGGTATTCTACACGTATTACAAACTAATCAGCTGAGAGAGGAGAGAGACCGGGACGCGGTGTAACACGAGCTTGATATTATGTCCGTATCCATGGTTACAGAGTTTGTACTACAACACGCTCCCTGGGTCACCTCTTGTTGCCTTTGTTGTGAGTCCCATTTTAACTCTCGTTGTCACTATTTTGTGCGGACTATTGCTGTGATGCTTAGCAGGGTTGGTATCTTCAGAGTATAGTTAACGTTAGGATCCAGCTCCAATACATTAGTATCTGGTAAATTAGATAACATCTCCAATCCTACTAATATCTCCTCCAACTGATCTTGATTAATGAGTAGATACATGACCACCTAATACTTGCCAACTTACCTCTCTGTCATTGGTGTCCGGTACACCTCTAATGTCCGGTACACCTATAATACCTACTTTATTATTCGTTTAAATATCTGGCTCAGAGGAAGCTACTTTGGCGGCCTGTACACTGTTCTATTGTCTGACCTCTAAACGCCCGTTTGAGCCCGCAATTAGGGCGTGCATTTCCGGAAAAACCACAAGTTCCAATAATAGAATAAGAGAGCTTCCTTTACTCTCATAACCATACATTATTATAATGTATACATCTTTTCTTAGCTAAGACTAAGCCGATCTTGCTTTTACCTACAATTGTTCTTCTCTTCTTGTTATCTCTCTCTTCGTTGCCAACATTAGGCAGATCTTTAGTTTTCCAATTGTAAGTGACCGCAAAAGATTAGTAGTTGGAGGCTCAATATTTCCTACAAATTAGAAGTTATAGACTCAATACACGATACCTTTCCTTGTTGGCAGTTGATGTCATACCACAATTCAACAATCAGTTGTTCTTAATTTTGTTCAGTTTTAAATTTCAAGCTTTTTCGAATCAAGAATCGTGTCAAACCAGCACGTTTCCAAAACAGTTTAAACTTTTAAAGTTTAACAAATCACAGTTTATTTGTCTAGGCTGTAATAGGATTTTTTAATCCTTGTCATGTCTCATAACAAATGGTTATACTGCATCTGAAAGTGCAAGCATACTACTCCGATCAAGCTTCCTTTTAAAGACACAGTGAAGTTTGACTTTTAATTATTTGTTTTAGGGAAAAATAAGACTTGAGCGTTGTTTTTAACTATCCTTGTTTAGAACTTTTAATACTTTAAAGACACAACAACTCAGGCCTGATGTCATGAATACAGAGGCTCATCTCATCCACTAACTTTACCTGTAAAAGAACTACCATCAACTACCTGTGAGAATTAGAGATGCCGACTGTAAACGAGGCAGCAAGTAATGGTGTCCTGGATAGGTTTCCTACCAGAATAGTTGATGTCATCGACTTTCATGACTGTGCTCAGGTATTGTATTGTTTAATTTCATATTGCAGTATACATTATCTCCCTCTATAACTATCATACCTAATTCTTAAATTCAAGAACCTTCTTTTGCGTCAAATCTCGTCACTGCCCCTAGTTAATTATCAATAATGCTCTATATCTGTACAGGGACTGGGGTTGAAGATATTCGGGGGAGTTAGTTCCCGGGGTGATGAACATGGTATCTTTGTGAAGCAGGTGGTACCTGGGGGTCTTGCAGCTCTGTCTGGACGGTTACAGGCTGGTGATGAACTGCTGGAGGTAGTTTAACAAATATTTTATGTTGTTTTATCATTTTTGGATTATATGTCTCTTGTCATAATTCTCTTTATCTGATCTTAAAACTGGCTTGAGTAAGTATCGCAGTTTCTTATTCGTCTTGTTTGTTAGGTGAACGGAAGGCCACTTCATGGGATGGCTAATGCGAAGGCTGTCTCCATGCTCAGAGCCTGTGCAGCGCAAAGAATTCTCACTTTGGTATGTAGGCATGTTTGAGATTGTTGTATTTTCTCCCAAATTGTATTGTAACTCCTATACATATCCTGAAATGGTATCTTGATGCTTCCAAATTGTCTAAGTTTTTACTTCTCAGTATCACTGAAATTTTCTTCCTTTCGTCTTACTTAATCCCACTCCACAAGGTAATATCACGTGACACAGAAGCGTACAAAGGTTACCACAAACTGTGCTCCAGTATCCTCTCCGGCTCAGTTCAGAGTCTGAACGTCAGTGATGAGATCCCCCGATACACCACCAAGGGTAGATTACGTGACAATAAGAACAAGACACCTGATCCTAGGTCACCCCACTTGGTGAAGCCGGAGCAGGAGAGGTTGGGATCCTCTCCGGGGAGGTACGGTAGCTCTGATGATGGCTCTTCTTCTCCACTCAACTCTCATAGGTAGGATTTTCTCTTTTGGAGAGGACATAGTTGTCACGTCACTACTTTCTCTCAGACGGGTTCCATTCCTCATGGGAAGTTTACGTCATGGTGGCTTTTTCTTACGCCATGGTGGCTTTTGTTGGGTGAAGATTCCATTAAACTACCCTGGACTATGTATCACGTTGCACTTCTGAATTCTCTAATTATTTCGAATTCAAACCTGAAACATTCCTAACTCTGTAACAGGTCACTTTGACTCTCCAGTTAAATTTGATTTACCAATTTGTCCGCTCATGCAGCTGTTTCAGGAACAAAAGAGGAAGTGCACTGAGATCATCAGAGAGACCCCGGAGTGCTAGGCCTCTTGATATCACCACTGATACTAGTGCCAGTGAAGGTAACGACTCCTGTAGATGTCGAGGGTCGTAATTATTATATTTGCTATGGATGAAGACTAAAGAGAGAAATCGCTTTGATGAAATGTTATGGAGCGGATAAATAATAAGTAGCCGAATGACTAATGAACGAAGCATTACCTTTGCGACATAAAGTTAAAAAAGTGAATGTCTGCGATCCTTTTTAACTTAATCTTGTAGTTCGAACCAAGTTCAAACCAAATTAATTTCATTTACATCTCAGGTCAGATTTCTCCAATATCGCAACTCTCCACAACACCTCTCGCCCCCAAAACAGTCTTCATCGACTACAAAACAGGACTGGGCATGAGCATCTGCGGAGGAACGAACAAATCAGAAGGTCCAGGGATCTACATAGACAGCGTTATAAAGGGAGGGGATGTGCACAGACAGGGGATTATGCAGCCTGGGGATGAGCTGGTGTCTGTTAATGGGCACGTGCTGCAGGGGTTAACTCACGAGAGGGCTATGAAGATACTCACACGACTCAAGTTAAGGCAGGTTAAGCAGGTAAGATATCTTTTATAAGTTTCGTTTGGTGGAACTGTTGGGTAGTAGGTTGTTTGATTGTAATACAGTAATACCCCGGTGAATCGGGGTTTTACTGTACATTCTTTATTTCTTTCAAAAGTTTGATCAATGTTTTAATCTTTTAATGCACATTTAAGCTAGTCTTCCCAGGTGGAAATAGTTTATAAACCAGGTGACGGTGTTTCGCCGCGTCAGAAAATCAGACAAAACGCTGCTACTACCCCCTCCCCTGCAATACACGTCACTTCCTCCAACGGTACTCCTAAACGATCTCCCTCCTCTTCGAGTGTTAACAAGTTGTATGTCACTTCTCCGGTTGATCGTGGTCTGTCTCCCTCTCGACAGTCTCAGTCGAAGGATCTTCCTAAGTCAACTGGAGCTGGTGATTCTAATAAATTGTCGGGGATATCTGGGACTAGATCTATAACTGACACAGCCAGCACGGTCCTGAATACTAAACTTGATGAAGGTAAATTCAGTTCAGATTTTAGTTTCATGAACATGTGGATCAGTCTTTTAAACAATATTCAAGATTGTATCGATTATCAAGAAATGGTATTACTGATTTAACTAATACGTCGTGATATCTGACGAATACCTTTATCCAGGCAGCACGCCACTTAGAACAGGATCTCTGGCACCTGGCCAGCAAATCAGTATGGACAAACTAGTGGTGGCTCTGCAGTATCTAGGGTACAATCCTACCCCGGAACAACTTCAGACGTTGAAAAGCAAACTCAACATTGATGCCGACAATAAGGTTTTTCTTAGTTTGAATTTCTTATTAATATTGTCTCATCAAAGGTTTATACTTTATAGTTTAGGAATCCAGTTATCATTCTCATCACGATCTCAACAATTTTCTACTGTTGCTAATTTAGTACACATCAAATCCTCTCAGGTAAGATACGCTGATTTCGTAGCAGCAGCTCGAGAAGTGTTTGCTTACAAACTCCGGGAAAGTGACAAGAAAGTGCTGAAGAGTGATTCAATGGACGATATCTCCAGATCCCGGGCTGAACTCAACAAATCTCTCAACACTCTTACAGGTTGGTGCCATATCAGCATGTTACCTTGTTTACATTCACGAGGACGTTTATACGTCGGGACTGAAAATGGGACGAAACTATTCTGTCCTGAAGTCCTACCTAACCTTCACTAAACGCCCTTTCCCTCTCAGATTTCTCCAAAAGACGAGTCCACTCCTCTTCCCAGAGTGGTCCAATAAAGCGCTCCTCCGCTCTGAGCAGCTCAGTTCCTGATCTGAGTGTCCCCCATAATCTCCCTCACCAAAATGAGCTGAGGTCTGCTAGCTCCCTTGCTAATCCTGTTAATAATCTACTGGATCATGTCAGCTCATCTCGTACTGGGTTAGCAAAGAGGTAAAGATATGAGCACATTCTCTTAATCGATTGACAAAAAGGATATCGCCTCCTTAACTATTTACGAACAGGCAACAAATGAAGATAATAAACTAAAATTAACATCTCCACACCCCTACAGTAGAGGAGCTACCACCTCCCTGCCCCGAACTGAGTCTCTAGTCTCCCCTGTCTCTGGGTACTCCACCTCTGGGTGGTCTCTACCCCAGTATGACAAGGACTACGCTTCCTGTGATCCTGCTGAGCTGATCCGGGAGTGTGCTATCCTTGCTGCAGAGCTCCGCAAGTCTGAGAAAACGTAAGGCTGACACCCTTCTCCTGACAATGTTATCAAATCAGTTGTTTACCCTCCCCAACAGCGATTTTTCTATCCTTTCTCCGAAGACAGAGCGTCTAAGTTATAACTGTGACGTATGTAGCCCTAACTAAGTCTTAACTTCCCAATCCCTGCTCCTCAGTATACTGCAGTACAAGTCGATCACAGAGAAGCTGCTGAACTTTGCAGCTAACGTCCAGAGCTCCTTCAAAGCAGAGGTCTCCAGGTCTCGGTCTCTGGAGAGAGGGACACCCCTGGACAGGAGCAGAACTAGACAGAGTCTCGCTACTGTCATACACGGGGCTAACAAAACGGTAATATTGTAGTGACCTTTCTGTCTTCCTAAGATCCTAGCTAACAATTGTATCTTTATGATCGATCATGTGCACTGTCGATTGAAAATTAGGTAAAATAGGCGACAAGCCAAATTAGGATAATCCGGGGTAAATTAAACTTCAGTTTCATCTTCAACCCATCACTATCAGCCTTAAACCATTTCCCTCACAGATATTGGAAGCCCAGGAGATTATTCACGACGACATGCTTCCCGCGGGATGGGAGGAAGCCTTCACCGAGGACGGCGCGAAGTACTACATCAACCACTACTCACAGTCTACAAGCTGGGACCGACCTGTAGGGTGAGAGGTCGTCCTTTTCTCTCTTTGGAACCCAAAAGGGAAGTCATTAAGTGCGAATTGAGGTTCATCTGTGATGTGTTCAGAGGTTTATATGATTTAGTTATGACAACAAGTGGCAAGTAGACACACGTCTTGGCTCTACAATCTACATTTATTATGGTAGATGATAAGTATTCTTAAATCTTTATTGAGATTATCACACATGATTATGACACGAGTGACAAACTTAAGAGCAGCTAAATGACTTACTTATTATTGTAATAGATTATACATTATGATCTTATGATAGAACAACTTTCTGAGCAAAATATTCTAATGGTATTTGAACAACTTTGGCTTCACATTTATAAACTGTACTATCGGTTAAATTATCGATACTTACATACATATATCGGCATGCTGCTTATTCTTAAACTGCTAGTTTCTTTATATCACCTTTATTTTTACTGCCAAATTACAAATATATCTGGAAACTCCGAAATTAAACAATCAGAACCTTCAGAATGGGATATCTTTTCTCGGTTACTATTTTTAAAGTGCTTGATTTGTATTTCTATTCGAGTTATATTACATATTTCCTCCGAAGAAACTTCTTGTTATTTTAACTTTTCTCTGAACTTCTTTAGGGTTATTCACCATGACCATGGAGTATTGTAATTTAATAGTAAAAATTAGCATCGAAAAGTTGTTTTAAACTATTATATCCCTCAATATCGAGTTTGTTGAAAACAATTATGAATCATTGTTCCACAGTTTTTTGTAGACTAGAAACTGATCTTTGTGATCACGTTTCCAGTTTACTATTCGCAGTTCTTGTACAGTAAATAAGATATTAAGCTATGTCGCAATGTTATAAATTCAATCAACATATGAAAATTACTGTCCATGATTCGTCATAATGTTACCATACAATATTTTCTGTTCAATGATAAGAAAAGAAGGCGTCTCTAGAGCCGATAATGAGATCACGAAAACGATTATTTAGAGCAGGCTGTTAGTAAAATCTCGTGAGGTTGTCATTGTGTTAGATTCAGCAGAAAATTGTGCGGAATATAACATATTTCGAGCTATTGCATACTGCATAGTTTAATAATCAAGATACAAACCTTTACAGTGAAATATTGACTAGAACAATGACATTTTTATACATTCAACAAGATTTGTGGGCTAACAATCCACATATCAAAATTAAAACATCTACTATAACTAATAGCTTGAACGTCTAATTTTTCCACCGCGACTCTACGAGTCTTATCTTTATCTCATGGTAGGTCAGGACTATTTTCGTCAGTCAGGGTGATCGTCTTCACTATCTCCGCATTTTCCACCTCTTTAGTCGGAGATTTTGCCGGAACTGAGTATCTGCAAAGCATTGAAGTTAAGCTTCAAACTACTTGGTGTGCAGTTTCACTCAATACTTATAATTGTGGTGAGGATTGGTTTCTCCTTACAGAGTAGGTTGAGACTATAGTTGATTAATTTGTTATTGGGAGTTTAGAATCGTTTACCCACGGAAGCGAATGTTCTTAATGTGAAAGGAATTTAATGAATACAGTTAAAGAAGTAAAGAGTGAGGTAAATTTAATTGAAACGGTCAAAAAATGAAACAAATTTAATGAAAGAAATTTTAATGTACGATACCAACCTGAAAGACTCACATTTTGTCATCAGCAGCGTCGACTTTAAGGACAGTCGCCCCAAGGATCTTCCCATCACTGTGCTGCAGTGAATATCAAGTTCAACATACAAAGGGATTAGACAAAGCAAAGGTAAACACAGCTTTAATACAAGCCAGCCGTAAAGTAAACGGAAACCAGATCAAGTTCAACAGGCTAATTATTTAACGTGCTCTTTATGGGACGACTATGGGACATTTAATTTATTCAATTGACTAATTTGAAATTACATATTACGGCAGTAGCAATATTGACTGCCTATGTCTGTTTTTTTTTAAAACTTACATTTTGCTGTCGTTGCATGTAGGTATAAAAGAAAACGGCGCTGATAAAGATGACTCCTAAGATCACCACGACGCAAATAAGGGCAACACCCCAAGTCGGCAAGCCGCTTTCGTCTGTCACAGCACCTGTTTCTCCGCTCCCGCAATTCTCTTTCCCTGATAGAGAACAAGTTCATTAAGTAATGTTCAAATAATTCTAATCATTATTTTTGAAATCATTATCTTATCATGAAATTTCCCTGATAGAGAACAAGTTCATTAAGTAATGTTCAAATAATTCTAATCATTATTCCTGGAATCATTATCTAGTTATCTTATCATGAGATTTCCCTGATAGAGAACAAGTTCATTAAGTAATGTTCAAATAATTCTAATCAATGTTTATAAATCAAGGATTCATAAAAAGCGATTTAGTGCGACCGTATTAGTAACGCTAATGGCAAAGAAACGCCGTCACAATCACAACATGTTTACCATAAATATTTAAATATTTAAATAGATTTTGGTGTTGGTTTTTTCTATGAGTGATTATAATCTGGGTGAGAGGAACCATGGGAACGAGAAGAAAACTTACACAACCTCATGCTAATTATAGAGCATCAACACAAGTTTTATACACCCTAATCGTCATTCAAAACTGTTCACTAGTTGAGGTAAAAATTGGAGTCCTGGTCACAATTTTAGTTTACTGATCAGAGCAGCTATATTAAACACAATTTAAATTGAACTTAAAAGTACAGAATTTACTGTCACTGGAATTTAGAACATCTGTGAATGCCAAATACCGGCAACCGTACAAGAATGATTTACTACAAACCACAGTGCAGTAGTCGAAATCAATCCGAAGAGAACAAAGATTGCAATAGAGTAAAATCTAAAATAAGCGAATCTAATATTTTACATATTTTATTATTACTTGTTCAGTCAGTATAATGCTTCGACCATATTGTTAACATCAAAACAATGGGAATATTTTATTCATTCAAAATAAACGCGAGTACTCCCAGAAATTATAGCACACCCTGTACAGACACCCTGTAGATTGATTATATTTTTCATACTGCGTCTATTTCTATTTCTTTGTCTTACTACCATGACCGAGCTATAAATTAAAAGCTATTAAATATTGTACTATCGCCTTATCAAAACCTTTGACGTATTAAGAAGTTGCTAGAGACAACCACAAAACCGATTCTTGAGAACTAAGACTCAACCTATTTTAGAAATTCAGCCTTGGCAGAGGGAAATGCTGCAAACAATGAATTCTTTTTCCAGCAGAAGATTAGGAAACAGCGTTAGAACACAACAGAGATATGCAATAATCCACTAACCTGCAGGTACTTTTACAATCTTCTCCTCACTAGTAACACAGCTAGTAGCAGCAGCACACTTCACCACGCACTCAGAGCACAGTTTCTTCTTGTTCAACTTCATCCACCTCGTCACACTCTCATCACATGTTCCTGGTGTAGGTTATTAATCATACTCTCCAAGCTATAAAACGCATGCCCATATAAAATATAAATATTTCTTTATCTTTCTTAAACTTGTTGAACTGCTTAACTTGTATGTACGATTGTTCACAAATTATCAGACTCATCAAGATATTGGAAGGGTCTGATGTTTGCTATAAGTCTGACAGGTTCTTTAGGAGATTCCCACAACCTGTCAGTCACAACCTGTCAGCCACAACCTGTCAGCCACAACCTGACAGCCACAACCTGTCAGCCATAACCTGTCAGTCACAACCTGTCAGCCACAACCTGTCAGCCACAACCTGTCAGCCATAACCTGTCAGCCACAACCTGTCAGCCATAACCTGTCAGCCACAACCTATCAGCCACAACTTCTCAGCCACAACCTGTCAGCCACAACCTGACAGCCACAACCTGTCAGCCATAACCTGTCAGTCACAACCTGTCAGCCACAACCTATCAGCCACAACCTGTCAGCCATAACCTGTCAGTCACAACCTGTCAGCCACAACCTATCAGCCACAACCTGTCAGCCACAACCTATCAGCCACAACCTGTCAGCCACAACCTATCAGCCACAACCTGTTAGCCACAACCTGTCAGCCACAACCTATCAGCCACAACCTGTTAGTCACAACCTGTCAGCCACAACCTATCAGCCACAACCTGTCAGCCACAGCCTGTTAGCCACAACCTGTCAGCCACAACCTATCAGCCACAGCCTGTTAGTCACAACCTGTCAGCCACAACCTGTCAGCCACAGTCTGTTAGCCACAACCTGTCAGCCACAACCTATCAGCCACAACCTGTTAGTCACAACCTGTCAGCCACAACCTATCAGCCACAGCCTGTCAGCCACAACCTGTCAGCCACAACCTGTCAGCCACAACCTGTCAGCCACAACCTATCAGCCACAATCTATCAGCCACAATCTATCAGTCACAATCTATCAGCCACAATCTATCAGTCAAAACCTGTCAGCCACAGCCTATCAGCCACAACCTATCAGCCACAATCCACATGCTAAATATTCTTGACTTGTTGTCACATGCTAAATACCCTTGTTGTCTGGCTCTCACCCGTGTTATCAGAGACCTCCACCACAGCGTCAGTGTACTCCATACACCCGCCCACATCAAACAACACGTTCAGTCCTAGCTTTTCTTGCAGAGTCTCGGGGATGGAGTCCAGTTTAGATGTGCAGGTGATGGTGACGATGTCTCCCCCACTCTCTGTCAGCTCCACAGTCGGGGCTGTCTTGTAGTCTTCTGGTACTGCAGGTGTTAAACAGGCGTTACAGTTCTACATTTAACAGTAAGAATGTGTATCACAGACATTTTTCTGTTTGATCAATATCTATTGTTAACTTCAATCAGGGGTACACGATGCAACGTTGGTACGTGCTCTCCTGGCTACAACATTCCTCATCACACTCTCCGTGCAGCGCTTAATCCTTGAAAGCTTGTAAAACAAACCATGACTTAAGTTAATTGTGTTATCAACAAAACTCACACACTGAGACAGCTAGTATCTGCTGCACTGAGTACAGATTATCAATGTACTTAAAGTTCTGAAGGTAGTGACACTGTTCATCTCCCTTCACTTCCATTCCTAGAGAAGAGCTAGACACCGTCTGAAATATTGTAGAATGTAGAGTCTACAATATAGACCTTAGTGAGTGGTTATATAAAGTTGTTCTTGAGCTGTTTAATAATTGAATGATTCCATTGAATTGGAATGTTTTATCGAGAATTGTCCACACTTGTTATTTTTTAATCGTGTGTGTTCTTTAACATTTTATCTTACGTATCCTTCGGTGAACTTGTTGATAACAGCATTGTCCACTTTCCAGAAGTAACTGGATCCAGCCAATACCTGTTCAAATGAGATCAGTTTATCAAAATTCAAACTGGTGGTTACGTCAATCAGAATCACAGACCTTAGTGGGTACCGAATATACCAGTGCTAGGGATATACTGAAATAGCTCTACTCTCTTACTATCAACTTAGATTAAAATAACCCACGTTAAGAGCAATAAGCCGGCTAAATGAGATATCAATACTTGGCACTAGTCCAAATTACGAAATAATTCCATATTAACCTGAACTACACCAGTACTGGAGACATCAGCAGTAAGCAGGTTGTCAATACCAACTGTTACACTGCTGTTAGACACCCCACACTGTAGCCCCGTGGGTATGTGCCCACTTTTAGGGATGATGGGAGCTTGGTGCAACTCGTTTATCAGAATAGAGTGCACTCCTTTCTGGATCTGATGTGATTTTAGTGATTTTATTATAAGTGTTATATAAGCTAAAGGGTTTAACTACGTATCAGTAACAATCAGGATCTTTAGTTACCTTAAGTTTCCTTATACTGATCTAACCTGGCATCTGAAGGTGGTTCCTGCTAGACTATAATCCCTGGTGAAGGTGAGACTCCTCCCGTTGTTGCTAACTTGGAAGTCAGCACTACTCGTTATGTTCTTGTACGCAATAACACCTGGTAATGAGGTCCATATAAAGATTACAGTAGTTTTAACTAGTGGGGAAGCTTTCGATGGTGGACTTAATTCTTAATTCTCGAAATTTGATTGCTTTTAAGATCTTCTACGGAAGTGTTTAGCCGCTAAAACCATTTCACTATCTGACAGCTATAGACTTCTATAGTACCAATACAAAAGTTAAAGATCTTACCCACATTTGATCTGACGCATGTGTTAAATTGCAAAGATCTCTCTAGTTTCTAATTTCTTACCATCCACACTCTCAGCTTTCTGCCAGTAGTGTTGAGCCGTCTCCCCAGCCACAATGTTAGACCCCAGACAGGTAAGAGTGGTGGTGTCTGTGTCGTTGAAGAGGAAGGCGGGGTTCTGAACCTTGCTCACTATCCGCAGACTCTCACTCACTGAGGTTTGTGTGATTCCTGGAGGGAAGTGCTGTTAGTGCCTCACTAAACTATCTGATGAGGGTGGAAAATGGAAATCAAGACTGTAAATATTCCACTATTTTACAACTTGTTGCAGCTTTTTTTTCTAAAACTGCAACTTTCTTTCGCTTTGTTATTGAGAACGTTAACCTCAATATGAACTAAAAACTAACCTGAGCTAGCCACAGTGTGAGAGGCCTACATCCTTCTGATTAACAACACCCAACAAAGTCTGATGTTGAACAGCACACTTATACACCCCTACATTATCAGCCTTGAAGTTCATTATCACCAACATCCCTACTGAGTACCCAAACTTTGCTGCGAGTTATCATTCAGTTAGTTAGCTAATTAATTAAATAATCTGTCAGATTTTAAATAATCTGTCAGATTTCTAGTTTTATTGACGTTATTTAAACATTTAAAATTGAATTTGGAGCCATCAACTTCTTGTTTCTTTTAGCTGTCTTTGCTTTTTGTTTTATCCACCCTTAAAGAATAGTGGGTTAAACTTAAACTAGCTAGCTGAATTGTAATTTAATTCTAGCTCACGATACATGGATTGTCTTACCATCAGTTGAAATTATGGTGTTTTGAACCACAATCATATTTGCTTGATTTGATATAGCCGTTGCGTTAGAGTCAGCGTCTTTGGAATATATCCATACCTGCAAATTCATTCAATCATTGATGCAACACGTTTAACTTGTTTAATCGATTCCAGGCATAAAGAAACTAAGGAGTTAATTCAAGCTCCTGCCAAATAAATCACTGGGCATAGCAGTCGAATCAATATGTATTCAGGTTGAAAATAAGGACTTTCTGATATTAAATTTGATAACTTTATTTTCGTTATAACTAGTCAAAGTTCTATTATTTCTGTAGTCGAGTTAAATATTTGGTACATACTGCAGTAGAGGGTGGGTTGGTGGTTGGCAGAGCACAGGCTAGTTTCACTTCAGCGGTGCCAATGTCTACTGAGTGGGACTCACTCACCATTTCACCGGCTGGTGCTACATACTCTGAAAGAACATCACCTGTTCTTCAAACTATAGTCTATCTTTCTCATTATTTCATCAATAATAGTCTTATATAAACTATCTATATACTTTCAAGCAGATCCGAAATGTTGATAATTGTCGTGTAGTAAACTAATTTAAAAAGCATATTGCTTATCTAGCCGAATAGATGTTATTAAAAGTAAAACCAACCTTTAAAAAATAAAAAAATAAAACCAAGAAACAAAGTGCGCAACTCACTCTGAACATCCACCGCCAGGACGTTACTATACAAAGTAGCCACAGTCTTCACAGCCTCATCAGCCCCCTCCTTCACAGTAACAACACATTGGTAGAAATGAGAGTCGTGCTTCTCCAGGTTCATCTCACTCGACCACGTCACCTCGCTCAGATCACACACTTCAAATGTGCAGTTTATCTGGGGGAACAGCTGGATGAAGATTTGATCAAATAAATTCATTAATTTGCTTTCAGCCGAAAACGTTTATGTTTAATGTTATTCCCTCGTTCTACAAGAGTTGCATTTTAAAGACTGTGGGTACCTGTTTAGCATCTGAAGCCATGCTAGCCAAGGATTGCCCTCCCACTTTGCTCGACTTGTACCATTTGTACTCTAGAGTCAGTCCATCTGAATCTCCTGATCAAATTGAGATTTTATTTTTCATATTGGAGAAGTTCTATTAGTGCTTCCCTTCGCTGCAAGGCTACACCTTTACTCTTTATAATTAAATTGCTAATTTATTCGTTAATGCCATACTTCAATCATGCCACCCTTGAAAACCCTGACCATTTATTCTGCTGTCAGATCACATATAGCGTAGAAAATAGAAATGTTAATATTTGGGTGGAATTTGCAATTTCTGGTATTTTCGGGTATTTATGTCCATTAAGATATAAGAGCAGTAAATTATTAACATTGGTTCTAAAGAATTAAGCCTCAGAAATGTAAAGCACCTCTCTAATCAGAATCTAGAAGGGAATTTGCCCTGCAAAGGAATAAGTTGCGAGCTTACGCTTTCAATTTTATTGTGCTTCCCTATAATATTAGAGCAGAGAAAGTTAATTATATAGTAGAAACCTAAGGAACAGTTAAGCTTGACGTTGGCGTTCTCCACTGCTGCACACTTGTGTCCATTAAACAGCGATACAACTTTGTTATCTTCAGGCTCGCATCCCAGCCACAAATCTGAAGAATTTATATACATTTTACTTTAACGTATTTTGAATTGGCAGGAAAACGTTATATTAATGCTCTTTTGGATTTAAACAGCTGATAAGAATATTGCACGTTGTTCAAATATCGACATGTCTGTAATAGTAAATTGTACAACTATATAGTAGTACAAATGATATAAATAGTATAACAAATAATATAAACAGAACTTACCGAAGGCCCTGCAGCGACTACAAGCTTGCTGGGACTCTCTGAATTGAAGATTTTCATTGTTTAAATGCAATTAAGTAATTGGTGATGGTAATTAAGTATAGGTAATTGTGTTTAGCTAAACTAAGGTGGTCCGTACTGTCTAATCAGCTAAACACAGACATGTTTTAAATATTTGATTTTTCACCTTGCCGCAAGGAGAAGAACCACGGTAAATATAATGGCCCTCATTCAGCTCCACAAATCGTCTGTCTTGTCGTGCAATTTAAAAACGTGTTACACTAAAATCAAACTCAGAAAGCACAAAGGTTGAGTATTGGTTAGGTTAGCACAATTCTCTTACTGTCTTTGAGAAAACGAGTGTATTGATCACGTGAGATTGTGTAAATGACCGGAAATATATGATGCTTTTACGCTTGCACTTTTCTTTTTTCCCAACACTTTTCCACATAATATTCAAATTGTAAATTTCTTTGCTGATCACGTACTTTACTTACAACTTACTGAAACTCACGACAAGGCCAAGACGACCCAAATCAAAATTGATAATAATTATTTCTTCTGATGATATTAAATCAATGATATGTTAAGGATTCCAATTTTTATTCCGGCTGTACTCCAGGCCTTGAGGTTCAGGCCTTGCGGTTCAGGCCTTGAGGTTCAGGCCTTGCGGTTCAGGCCTTGAGGTTCAGGCCTTGCGGTTCAGGCCTTGAGGTTCAGGCCTTGCGGTTCAGGCCTTGCGGTTCAGGCCTTGAGGTTCAGGCCTTGCGGTTCAGGCCTTGAGGTTCAGGCCTTGCGGTTCAGGCCTTGAGGTTCAGGCCTTGCGGTTCAGGCCTTGAGGTTCAGGCCTTGCGGTTCAGGCCTTGAGGTTCAGGCCTTGCGGTTCAGGCCTTGAGGTTCAGGCCTTGAGGTTCAGGCCTTGAGGTTCAGGCCTTGAGGGTCAGGCCTTGCAGTTCAGGCCTTGAGGTTCAGGCCTTGCGGTTCAGGCCTTGAGGTTCAGGCCTTGAGGTTCAGGCCTTGCGGTTCAGGCCTTGAGGTTCAGGCCTTGCGGTTCAGGGCCTGAGGTTCAGGCCTTGCGGTTCAGGCCTTGAGGTTCAGGCCTTGCGGTTCAGGGCCTGAGGTTCCCAAGCCAGTTTTTTTTATAAATTCTCATATCCGAACCTTTCAAATTCTGAAAAGACAATCAAACAACAATTCATATCCCACTAGTCACGTGAGGGATTTATACTTGCAATTTTAAATGGTATAATGAACATGAGACCAAATCAATTGAAAAGACAAGATCAATTGATAAGACCAAATCAATCAGTGAAAATTTGTTGAAAAAAAAATTAGAATCTTAGCATAAAATATCAACCCATTTTTTCCTTTTCACCCTTTTGAAAAAAGGCAATAGTGAAAGGTTACGAATGGAAGTTTTTGCAGAAAAACGTGGATTTTGGAGATAGCAGTAGGCGGGTCTGAATATGATGTCATTCCGTCCGTTACCATGCAACGAAAAAGTTGCGCGCGCGCGAGGATTGCTTGCGGAGATGTGATGTATAGATAGCCTGTGATCTATGAATGCGCGGCGCGACTGTGTTTTAATGCATATGATGCATGTAATGTATAATATTACTATTAGGTAATACGCCCAATTTGTACGTGGCACGCATAGTGTATTGATGTGTACACGAGTATAGTTTACCTTTGCTGATAATTTCTTGAATTACAGATACAAGTTAAGTTCTACGGCAATTGAACTGAATTTCAAGTGTTTGATGCATAATTTATCAATATTATTATCATGAAGATTGAAGTGAGCTGATTGGAGCTTATACTTAAATTTATAGTAAATGTGAAATTGGAAATCTAGCGTCCGCCAAAACAAAACAACGGGCGCAATTTTTGTTGTTTTTGTAGTAATATTGAAAGTATCAAAAATATAATTATACATTTTATCGAAATAAACGAACTCAAATCAAATTGTCCACAAATTACGCTTAGGGGGAGGAGGTTTGGAAATGCTTACTGTAGTTTCTACACACTAGCTTTGTGTTAAGTAGCTTACAGGGGGGAGGTGTAGGTCTAAATGGCCAAATAATGGCTCACCTAATATGTGAACTATGTGTGTTACCTAGTATGTAGAATATGTGAACTATGTGTGTTACCTAGTATGTAGAATATGTGAACTATATGTGTTACCTAGTATGTAGAATATGTGAACTATGTGTGTTACCTAGTATGTAGAATAAGTGAACTATGTGTGTTACCTAGTATGTAGAATATGTGAACTATATGTGTTACCTAGTATGTAGAATATGTGAACTATATGTGTTACCTAGTATGTAGAATATGTGAACTATGTGTGTTACCTAGTATGTAGAATATGTGAACTATGTGTGTTACCTAGTATGTAGAATATGTGAACTATATGTGTTACCTAGTATGTAGAATATGTGAACTATGTGTGTTACCTAGTATGTAGAATAAGTGAACTATGTGTGTTACCTAGTATGTAGAATATGTGAACTATATGTGTTACCTAGTATGTAGAATATGTGAACTATGTGTGTTACCTAGTATGTAGAATATGTGAACTATGTGTGTTACCTAGTATGTAGAATATGTGAACTATGTGTGTTACCTAGTATGTACAATATGTGAAATATGTGTGTTACCTTGTATGTAGAATATGTGAACTATGTGTGTTACCTAGTATGTACAATATATGAACTATGTGTGTTACCTAGTATGTAGAATATGTGAACTATGTGTGTTACCTAGTATGTACAATATGTGAAATATGTGTGTTACCTTGTATGCAGAATATGTGAACTATGTGTGATACCTAGTATGTAGAATATGTGAACTATGTGTGTTACCTAGTATGTAGAATATGTGAACTATGTGTGTTACCTAGTATGTAGAATATGTGAACTATGTGTGTTACCTAGTATGTAGAATATGTGAACTATGTGTGTTACCTAGTATGTAGAATATGTGAACTATGTGTGTTACCTAGTATGTAGAATATGTGAACTATGTGTGTTACCTAGTATGTACAATATATGAACTATGTGTGTTACCTAGTATGTACAATATGTGAACGATTCAAATCTAAAATCACATCAGTCATTACATGTCCTCAATAAATTCAATACGGATCTTAGTCAATATTCTGTTTAAGATTTGATCTATTTATTTTATACATTTATGATTATGTAATAAAGTTATTATATTCGTAAACATTGACTGGCTAATAAACCAGTCCCCAAACAAGTTTCTTTTGTGGGTGAGGGACTGTGGGTGTTTCAGCAAAATGAGGATTCGTGTACACTACGGGTACGGGCTCCAGTGTTAACGCCGGGTTGATCTTCAGAGATGATCTTCTGCACACTCCATATAGAACAATTCCGGCTCCAAGACTAAATACCACCCCCGTCATTATGCAGAATATGAGCAGCGAGTTGCTGAACCCTGATCAATTTCTATGTGAGTTATTTTATCCACATAATTTTATAAATTAAGCTTTTTAACCGTCTGATGGTTTTATCTGTTGAACTTGAATTGAATAGTAGATTATTTCGGTATAGTTTAATTCCATGTCATTCTCAATAATGGTCCCATCACAATTACGCACTGTAAGTGTACGCGCCAAATAAACGATATTGTTGCGTTGCCAGAGATAACCCAGCTAAGATTAGAAAATTATCATAATTACCATACTAATATTAGAAAAAATAACAGAATAACCAAGTTAAAATTAGGAAATATCAGAATATATCGATATCCATGCCATGTGCACGCGTTATGAATTAAAACAAAGTTGAAGTAACAGAAATAAGGTACGAACTTGGCAAAGAATCCGGCGCCTCATTCTGTATCAAGCACAGAGGTCCAGAGTATCCGGGAATGCAGATATCACAGAGCTGACCAGTCCAGTGTCCCACACAGTGCAACAATCCTTCCTTGTCACACTCCGCTCTTCCTGGCTCACTTTTGCACGTGCAGTTCGGTCCAGAATACATATCCTTACAGCTGCAGTGGAAATGTATTTTAAGATTCAGTCAGATGGTCGAATTAAAGCTAAGATAAATTTAAAATGTCTGAACGAGACCTTGTATTCAGGAATCTTCAGAAAAAGGTGAGGTTGTTTTTACCTATCACAGTTAAGACCGTTCCAGTTAGAAGTACAAGTTTTGTCGCCCTGATCTGTACATTTGTATCTCTCTGTGTCTGTACACTCTACTGAACAATCTTCTCCAAACCAACTTTCCTTACAATCCGTACAGTTTGTTCCTGGGGAATGGAGGTCGTGCAGTTAACTAAAGTCTACCGTTGGATTATGATTTTAAATCTAATTCTCTCTAAACAATGAAGGTAGTACGTCATTGCTGTATGAAAAAGTGAAGAAGAAATTGAAATCAACGATTATTGGAAAGCGTACCAGTTCTCTTTCCGTTGCAGATGTAACTTCCATGGTCATCACAGGTCCACAATGTACTGTTGAGATCACAATAAAGATCACATCCACTCCCATACCACCCTGTCTCACAAAGAGAACAGTTCTGTCCTGTAAAGTGTCCCAAACATTCCTTCTCCCCAGTATTACTACAGTCCCAAGCTGAGCTGGCTTGACAGAATGTGTCACAGTTAGCACCGTAATAGTTTGGTGAACAGGAATCACATTCTGAACCTGTCCAGTGAGTTTCACAAACTTTCTCTCCGGTTGTTGAGTTGCAATCGTATTGGCCAGGAACTGCCGTGCAATTTACTGAACAGTTCACGCCAAACTGCCCTGAAATGAAGTCCGATTTTAATAAATTTTATCACAATGAAAAATTCCTTTAGCCGCAAATGTGTTGATGAGATGCAAATCAGTCATATCTCTGACAAATAGTCATCAATGATCAATGCTTTTGCGTATGAAAACAAGGCTTAAACTCGAACTAGCCACTAGCAAAGGATAATTAGATTGATGAAAGAAATGTATGTCTATTAAATGTATGTCTATTAAATGTATGTCTATTAAATGTATGTCTATTAAATGTTTGTCTATTAAATGTATGTCTATTAAAGCCAACCTGATGGGCAGGGAGTTTTAACACCACATTTATCTCCGGTCCATCTTCCCAAACAGACCCTGGTCCCGTTTTGAGAGCAGTTGTAGTGAGATGCAGGAACACAGTGGACATTGCAACTCGAGTTGTAGTAGTTCGGTTTACAGATGTGGTCACCTGGATAGAGCGGGATTCAACGCGAACATTGTTCCGGGTTTTTAGAATGAGTCACTAAATTGAAAAGGAGAGAATTGGAAATGTGGTATTTTAAAACTTGCTCTCACCGTAACTATCACAAGTAAAATTGTTGATAGGTTGACAGAACTTAGTACAGTTAGTGTTGTAGTAGTTATTTATGCACCCACAACAACCAATGCCACCATGGTTACCAATACAATAAACCTGAAAATAGGGCGCTTGTCATGTCTGCGCTATAAACTTCTTTGCCGGTATAAATTTTCTATGAATCCATTTAAAAATTCCACTATAATAAACAGCCACATTTTTTCTTTCTTATAATTTTACCTTGTATGATATTTTGAATAGCCCCGATCCCTCAGGAGTTGTGTGCTTTACAAAGTGTTCGACATAGCTTGATTTTCCTTTTATGTCAAGGTTCATCGTGAAGTCAGAAATTTTATCTTCAAAAAAATAATCAGCATCAACCACATTAACTTTCATTTTTATATCCTCCTGTAAATGTAAAGGATCAAGTGTACCGTTTATCGTGACGTCTGTGCTCTTAAAGTTAACCGATCCTACTAAGTCGTCATTCAATTTTCGTTTTATAGAGTTTCTAAATCATTGGATATTATCTCGCACTTGAATTCCATTTCAAACTGATGGACACATACTGTTATGGTGACGTTTTGACTCACCACAGGATTAAGATTTATCGTTATTGGATTGAAAACCCCAGACTTTAAGGCGTCGTTTCCTGTTTTGAAGATTATGTTGTTGCCAGCGTCAGCCGTAAAATCCGTCGTTACAACCGTTTTGTATGTACTATGAATGGAGTGATGACGTGTTATGTCTATGACCTAATAATGACTAGAATGCTTCCTACATATACAAGCTGATTACAAAAATAAAGTTTCAATTATTTTAAAACTAAACAGTCCTAAAATGTTTCCGGCTAAAAGATGGTTTAACATTTTTGTGGAATGAATCTTCTTTTAAATAGATGCAAGTAGCTTACAGGCTCGATGAAACTCCTTCAAAAACCAAAGTGAACTTAAAATCACACCCAACTCCCGATATTCCTGCCGAGCAGATTGTGGTATCATTGTGGTACATTTTCAGAGTCACATCTACCGCTGCTGCGTCCGCACATTTGTCCTGAACAATGCCCGTACAGTGGATATTGTCTGTTAATGTTCCATTGTCTGTTAATGTTCCTATAAATCAAGAGGCTTGCATATAATGAACATAAGCTAGTGATATCAGTAGAACCGTGCAAATGAGCGCGACTTACCGTGATAATGTCAGTCATAGAGTTCATTGAATCGTCAACAGCTACAATATAACGAGTTTTGGGTTTAGCATCTGCAACCGAGGTAACAATGTTACTGAGATCCTGGACATGTATTGAGGGGATGATATTCTCTCCAGTTCCAATGATGTTTAGAGCCTTTGTGTCACCGTGCCAAGCCACCTTGGGTTAGGAGAGTTAAATCCTGTTTTGTTAACAAAGATATTTAATGAGTAATCGTAGGCATTTCATCACATTGAAAATGATGTATAGATTGATATGGATATGAAGACAAGTTCTCCCTAACAGCCAAGATATCAGCAATTTTAAGCTTTGTTTGATCTAAGTGCACACAGTGCAAATAAAACGATTGATTTGAATGTAAAATGGTTAAGTAAACTGTGAATCTAATTTGTACCAACCACTAATACTATGAGAAGTATAAAAAGGACTGTGATTATGGGCACTTTCAAAAACATATGTCACGAGAAAAAAAAGTTAAAATGTCTTTGTTGCGATAACCTTTTGACGCAAATATAATTATAGACACACTACTTGTCTATCGCTCAGTGTAGTGCTCAGCAAACTATAGCCAAAAGGATCCCTTAAGATTAAAATTAAGGGGCGACGAAAAACGAAAAAGAAGTGAGCTCGTCCCTCTCGTTCGTCATATATACTCTCAAAAACTGCAACGCCATTCTGCGTGATACTGATAGTACAACGCATCTGCTCGCCCCACGTGACACGCAGTCTCGCCAATGGGAACTCCACTAGCAGTCACCCTGTGGCCACGAGGACCAATCACAGGCCTGGCTGTAAGTCCTATGTGCAAAAGAGCGGACAGTTCATTCATGCCAGTAGAGCTGCCATCCAAACTCTCGAATAAAAACAAATAAGAGCATTGGTTATTCTACACCCGAAAATCAAAATCAAATCATATACTAAATTCTACGTCCCTCAAACGTTATTGAAAAACTAAGATATCATAAAATATATCTCAAAATACCATATGACAACATTTCTAGTCTCTACCCAAAAGTTTTTTCGAATATTTTAAAACAATAAAAAATCACCCTTTTCAAAATTTAAATTTCGATGCCCCCACGCATCAAAAGTTCAAAACTTAAATATGAGTCAAGCTTCAAAATACAATACACAACCCTGTACACAAGCCGTCAGTGTGCGGTGATCACATGGTAGGTCAAAAATTTAGAGAACAGATTGCTTGGGTAATACTCACTCAGAACACTGTAAGTAAATGAGTGCATTTAAAATGTAAATGAGTTTATAAAAATACTCTGGTGCATTATAATTAGTACTTAGATAGAAAGTTTATTAGTTATCAATACCTTCTTTTAGTATAATTTTTGGTCAAAATGTTACCTTAAAAGGAAGATATAAGTTTGCAAGGTTGAGGTTGTTACCTTGAACGGAAGATATGAGTTTGCAAGGTTGAAGTTGTTACCTTAAACGGAAGATATGAGTTTGCAAGGTTGAGGTTGTTACCTTGAACGGAAGATATGAGTTTGCAAGGTTGAAGTTGTTACCTTAAACGGAAGATATGAGTTTGCAAGGTTGAGGTTGTTACCTTGAACGGAAGATATGAGTTTGCAAGGTTGAAGTTGTTACCTTGAACGGAAGATATGAGTTTGCAAGGTTGAGGTTGTTACCTTGAACGGAAGATATGAGTTTGCAAGGTTGAGGTTGTTGCCTTGAACGAAGGATATGAGTTTGCAAGGTTGAGGTTGTTACCTTGAACGAAGGATATGAGTTTGCAAGGTTGAGGTTGTTACCATGAACGGAAGATATTATGAGTTTGCAGGTTGAGACTGTTACCTTAAACGGAAGATATGAGTTTGCAAGGTTGAGGTTGTTACCTTAAACGGAAGATTTAAGTTTGCAAGGTTGAAGTTGTTACCTTGAACGAAGGATATGAGTTTGCAAGGTTGAGGTTGTTACCTTGAACGGAAGATATGAGTTTGCAAGGTTGAGGTTGTTGCCTTGAACGAAGGATATGAGTTTGCAAGGTTGAGGTTGTTACCTTGAACGGAAGATATGAGTTTGCAAGGTTGAAGTTTTTACCTTAAACGGAAGATATGAGTTTGCAAGGTTGAGGTTGTTACCTTGAACGGAAGATATGAGTTTGCAAGGTTGAGGTTGTTACCTTGAACGGAAGATATGAGTTTGCAAGGTTGGGGTTGTTACCTTGAACGAAGGATATGAGTTTGCAAGGTTGAGGTTGTTACCTTGAACGGAAGATATGAGTTTGCAAGGTTGAGGTTGTTACCTTGAACGGAAGATATGAGTTTGCAAGGTTGAGGTTGTTACCTTGAACGGAAGATATGAGTTTGCAAGGTTGAGGTTGTTACCTTGAACGAAGGATATGAGTTTGCAAGGTTGAGGTTGTTACCTTGAACGGAAGATATGAGTTTGCAAGGTTGAGGTTGTTACCTTGAACGAAGGATATGAGTTTGCAAGGTTGGGGTTGTTACCTTGAACGAAGGATATGAGTTTGCAAGGTTGAGGTTGTTGCCTTGAACAGAAGATATGAGTTTGCAAGGTTGAGGTTGTTACCTTGACCGTTACACCACTGCATCAGATTCAGCTCCAACTCTGCTTACTGAAACACGAGTTTATTTTATCGTAACGATTATAATTGTAGGCTTGCAAATTAGGTTTATTAGGTTTTAGAGGACCTTTCCCAAAACCGAAACCAGCATTCCGTGAGTGACATACTTCACAAGATAAGAAAAAATCACGCGACTGTATTATAATAATAGATTACCAAGGCGGTAGACGTCAAGGCATTTTGTTAAAACATATACATTTTGTTAAAACATATGCATGTTTTAAAACAATTCGGTCGTTGATTACGTAATCCAAATTTTCTTTTTTACCCCCTAGATCGAATAAGATTAAGAACAATATTCTAATTCAAATTCCATTAAATTTCATTATGAGATTGAGTATGATAGTGATAAAACTTAAAAATTGATCGAATACCTGATTTCGGCTCATCATGATATCATGACCAGGGTAGCATATGAAACGTAGAGAAAAGTGTTTTACTGTTTTCTAGGGAAGATTACATAATATTGCTGTCAGGTGGGGGTTGGGTTTTGATTACGGTTGATTACGGAGGGGGGAAAGGGGTAAAAATTGCTAAAATATTGATTACGTTATATGTAAACGACCCCTGATGCATAATGCATAATGACTAATGCATAATGACTAATAAACGTAAAATTATAAACGTAATTAAGAATACCCTCTAAACGACCAATTATACCAGTCTTACTTGTTACTTTAGCTGAAAATTAAGAGAATGTTATTGACGGACGCAGTCGACAGTACAGCTATTACTAATACTATCAACTTAATAACACCAGAATGTGTGTGTGTCTGTGTGTGTGTGTGTCTGTCTGTGTGTGTGTGATTTCCGAACGGTTATACAAAAAAAACGGTAATAGTTACGGGACTGGTTTTTTCGGTATAGTGCCGACAAAACTCTGATGAAGCCCATAAGCAATTTTTTTTTAAATCGGCCGATGGTAAGTGGTTTAATTGATGGTTTTGTACCAGAAATGTGACATAAATGGATGGGAGAGAGAACGAGGAGGATAACATGTACCGTAATTAGTTTAGCCCCACGTAATATCAGAGCTCACTCTTGCGGCCGCTTTGTTTCAACTGTAGGGAGATTTCATACTTTCATAAGACAGCGTTATGCGTGATATCAAATACATAATGCGGTTGTATACTTTTACATTGCAACTGTGACAGTAAATTCCCGGCCGAAGGCACGGGTTACACTAGTATACTATAATTATAGTACCATACCTGCACTGTAATGGTTGTTGCGATCTATAAAATATGTAATTACTCCACCTTAATTGCAACCACGTAGATTGACTACAAGTGGTCCCACGAGTTAGTAATCATGGTCGAAGATGAAATGAAACATAAAAGGCGACTATCATGTATCCAGTCAACCATCATGTATTATATTAATATATGTGTGTAGTGTGTGTAGCTTACGTTGCAATTATCGAGCTCCCTTATCTTTTGTAACTTAGCGATAAGTTCAGTTTGCTGCTACCGCGTAGTTAGCCTTTGCTTGTGTAATTGTACATTATTATACAAGTACACCATGGAGGATGATCTGAATTTGACCCGATCTCAGAAGAAAATCAAGGATTTCAACTACGAAGAAAAGGAAGATGTAGAGGGCTGTACTGAAAGATGGTTCACTTCGATGGCAAGAGAACTGAAATTAGAAAACTTCGAAATTCGTGGAAATATGGACCAGGAAATACTCATGTCTCCGTCTATCTATAAAAGGTATATGGCAAACTGGGTTATGCAAGCAGCAGACCTCGTACGACGGCAGAGTAGTCAAATGAGCGCTATGATGGAAATCGTTGAGTGCCTCAAGACGGAAGCACTAGCAGACAAGGAAAAGATGGTCAGGTTGCAGGACCAGTTGCTAGTGCAGAAGGACGAACAACTACAGTTGTTTAAGACGTCAGTTGAAGAGACAGTGGCGTAACTTAGGGCCCCGCAGACCCCGCTGTGCGGGGGGGGGGGGCCGTATAAGGGGGGCGCAATTTTCCTGAATTTTAGGCCCTTTCACTGAAAAAACGTCTTGTTTGTGTATTTCCCTGTCCAATTTAGCGTTCGGTCGCCGCGAAAAAAATATTTGGGGTACCCTTTTTTGCTTCAGGGGGGCGCAAAAAGCCTTAGGGGGGGGCGAGAAAAAAAGTACCCGACCTTTTTTTTTTTTTTTAGGGACACAAAAAATTTTAGGGGGGCGCTTTTCGTCACTGAGCGGGGGGCGCCAACAGGCAAAGTTACGCCACTGTGAAGAGACAGTACAAACAACGGTGGAGTTAGGGATTCAGAACTATAGTGCAGCTGTTCAACAGAACAGTGCAAGTGGTACGGTCTGCAACAGTAAAATCCTGAAGAAGGTGATGAAAAGTGATAAAACTCACGACAAGGCCAAGACGACCCAAATCAAAATTGATAATAATTATTTCTTCTGATGATATTAAATCAATGATATGTTAAGGATTCCAATTTTTATTCCGGCTGTACTCCAGGCCTTGAGGTTCAGGCCTTGCGGTTCAGGCCTTGAGGTTCAGGCCTTGAGGTTCAGGCCTTGAGGTTCAGGCCTTGCGGTTCAGGCCTTGCGGTTCAGGGCCTGAGGTTCCCAAGCCAGTTTTTTTAATAAATTCTCATATCCGAACCTTTCAAATTGTGAAAATACAATCAAACAACAATTCATATCCCACTATAGTCACGTGAGGGATTCAAACTTGCAATTTTAAATGGTATAATGAACATGAGACCAAATCAATTGAAAAGACAAGATCAATTGATAAGACCAAATCAATCAGTGAAAATTTGTTGAAAAAAAAATTAGAATCTTAGCATAAAATATCAACCCATTTTTTACTTCTAATTGTGATAAAAAAACTCTGTTATCTGTGCTTAATGTCATTATGGTACTGAAGTAATCAGTTATTCTTTGATTGTCTCCTGAGAGGAACCCTTTATTGACTTGGAACCTGAACTAGATGAACTGTACGAGGAAGAGCTGGAGACTTTCATAGATGAGGAGGTTGTCGAGCTGCTGGACACCATCCGTGAGGAACTAGAAGAGCTGCTGGTTACTTCCTTGGAGCTGGATACTTTCTTGGAGCTGCGGGAACTAGACCTTGAACTGGAACTGGAACTTGACTTGCTCACAATCGAGGCAGACCCTGTCTTGCTTACCGCCACATGACTCGGCCCTCCAGAGCCGCCTCTGGCATCAGTTGGGATCACACCATTAAAAGACAGTTGCTCCAGTGATGACTGGATTATAGTTTCCCCATCTCCATCTCCGATCCGTCTGGAGCTGGATACTTTGGTACTGCTACTGCGTGAACCTGAGCTTGAGCTGGAGATCTTAGAGCTTGTCTTACTTATTGCAGGACCCGAAGAGCTTATCCCGTCAACTGCAGATACCTTTTTTACTGCAGAAGCGGAGGAACTATTTTCATTCACTGCTGCACTAGAAGAGCCTTTTTGTCTCGCTTCAGATCTAGAAGATTTTGTAACATTTATTGCTTCACCGGATGAACTTGTCTGCTTCTTGCGGTACTTGTCGCTTATTACGGCACCCAAAGATATAATCTCGCCCACTGCAGATTCTGAAGAGTTTATATCTTTGGCTGAAGATCTGGGAGAGCTTTTCTGTCTCGGTACAGAATCGGAATAAAGCAACGCTACGGAACCGCAAGATACTGTAATTTCTTCATCGGAAGAGCTTTCCTGTCTCGCTACAGATCCGGAAGATACTGTTATGCTCCCTGCTTCACCGGATAAGCTTGTTCGCTTCAGTGCTTCGACGGAAGAGCTTATTTCTCTCAATGCTGCATCAGAAGAGCTTGTCTGTCTCACGGTAGAACCGGAAGATTTTGTAACTTTCACTGCTTCACCGGATGAACTTGTTTGCGTTTTGCGGTACTTGTCGCTTATTGCGGTAACTGAAGATATAATCTCGCCCACTGCAGATTCTGAAGAGCTTATATCTTTGGTTCCAGATCTGGGAGAGCTTTTCTGTCTCGCTACAGAATCGGAATAAAGCAACGCTACGGAACCGCAAGATACTGTAATTTCTTCATCGGAAGAGGTTGTATGTCTTGCTGCAGATCCGGAAGAGCTTATATCTTTGGTTCCAGATCTGAGAGAGCTTTTCTGTCTCGGTACAGAATCGGAATAAAGTAACGGTACGGAACCGCAAGATACTGTAATTTCTTCATCGAAAGAGGTTGTATGTCTTGCTGCAGATCCGGAAGAGCTTATATCTTTGGTTCCAGAGCTGGGAGAGCTTTTCTGTCTCGGTACAGAATCGGAATAAAGTAACGGTACGGAACCGCAAGATACTGTAATTTCTTCATCGGAAGAGGTTCTCTGTCTTGCTGCAGATCCGGAAGAGTTTAACTTGCTCAATGCTTCAACGGAAGAACTTATCTCTCTCAATACAGAATCAGAGCTTATCTGTCTCAATGCTCGACCTGAAGAACTTGTCTGTCTCATTGCAGAACCTGAAGAGCTCCTCTCACTTACAGAGGAAGAGGAAGAGCTTGATCTGCTCATTGAGGAAGAGGAAGAGCTTATCTTGGTTACAACTGAGGTGGAAGAACTTGATGAAGTTGATGAAGAACCTGTCTTACTGGCAGCTGAAGAGGAGCTCACACGACTGGACCCTCCAGAGCTGAACCCTCCCCCAGAGCCAGCACTCACTGTCTTGCTGGAGGATTTCCTGGGGCTCTCACTAAAAGACATCTCCTCCGTAGAGGACTCGAGTATAGTCTCCCCATTGTCCCCCATCCGCCTGACGAGCGAGCTCTTGCTGCAAGTGAACCCGTCCTCGTCCATATCCAGATCTGATATATCTGCTACCTCCTGAACATAGACCACTCGTTCATCTGGTTCCGACATACTTCCCTGGGTTAGACAGTGTCATTCACTGAGTTTTAAAGCGATATTACAGTATAAAACGGTAAACGGATCGAATCCCTAAGGTATCGAAACGAAATGTGAAGTTCAGTAAGAATAAGATTATAATACTTTTTGGGAGCGTTTGGTTGCTTTCCTAACTAGATATTTAAAGTAGGATCACTATTCACTACTAGAACTATTTATAATAATCTCGGACAAAACGATAATAACAACAATCACTATTTACAGTGAGAGCTTAAAAAACTGCTAATTTTCATTTTAGTCTTGATAACGGAGCAATGAAAAATATTTCTGTAAAAACTGAAATGTAGTTTGATTGAAATTGAATTAAGCAAAATAAGCCTAAACTTGAAACTCGGTTTTGCCGGATCAGAAAAACGATTCCACGGTGAATTTTGTTGCACAAGTATGCACTCTAGACACTATCAGACTATTAATGTATTATGTGAGTTCATTTCAAGCATATTGGAACTTGTTTGGACTAAAGATCAGACTATATATTATGTGAGTTTCAAGCATATTGGAACTTGTTTGGACTATAAAGATCGTGGCTTGTTTACCTCATCGAGATTAACCAATAGGTTGGTTCAAAAAAAAAAAAATTTCTCAAATTTTGCTGAGTATAAGCTCAAACGTTGATCCCATGGCTAAAACACCCCCAAAAAAATTTTTTTGGTCCAACTCGTCTGGGATGGGACTGCACATGCCACGCCCTAATTTTGTGAGGTGCTTATACAGGTAAAATTCTTAAAATTGCCGTTTTTGACCTTAAAACGTCTAGACAGGGTCCCGAAAGCAATGGAGTGTAATATAAATGTGATAAAAAGGTTAACTTTAGTCAAGGTCTCATGTCTCTACGACCTTAGCATCAACATGTCTCTGCGCCTCCATTTTAAGGCGCGGTCGCGTCTCATCCATTGCTCAGTAAAGGTCGTAGAGACATGAGACTTCAACTAAAGTTAACCTTTTCCTACCATTTATATTAGAGTAGCACAGATTCAGAGCTCTAAACACATTCTTTCATCCTTAAAACGACAATCATATGAATTTTGCCTGTAAAAGTTGATATCTTGATGTCAATTAACATCGTAAGCTTTTGAAATTAAAATTAATTTAATGAATCATAATACTTAACACACAATATTTATATTACACGCAATATGAAAAAATACAGAAAATCTTCCTTGGATTCCACGTCTCCACACCCTGGAACTGTCAGAGGTAAGAACAACTTCGTTGGTTGCATTGTGTTGCAAAATTTGCTAGTGAAAACAAACATTACTGGGGGAATTTGCCCTCTTCCAAGCTCTCTTAAAATGAAGTCGCATTCCGGAGCCTTATGTTTATGAATGAGCAGTTTGTGAATTTGTATACTGCTGTTGTCACTGTCGAGAACGAGCTGTTCGAGTATTGGGAATATGGCAGCTATGGCATCATCCTACAGAAGAACGCAAGCATACCGTGGAGAATTTCCCCTCTTCATGAATCCTACAATAATTTAACAAATATTCTCCATCTTGGGGACTGGAGAGGGAATCAGTCCTTCAGCTTTAAGAAGATCAGTTTACAGAAAAGATTCATTTAGATCCATTACTGATAACTTGGTAAAGGAATTAGAACCATATGCTATTTTGTTAGCTAATGCTTGGATATTTATAGTTATTTACTTAACTTGGCTTGACGTATCAGTAAGAGATTACTGTACCTCGTTAGTCACGAAGAAATCATCAGACCTTATTAATAGTGATCGGTGACCCTGTCAGTGACCGGTGACGAGCTATGAAGGAATCATTGGATATCGTTGATAATGATCCTGTCAGTGACGAGCTATGAAGGAATTATTGGACCTCATCAATGCTTATCCTATAGCTGACGGGTCATAAAGAAATTATAAGGACCTCATTTAAATCCTAGTTTGACGAAAATATTCCTCTGGCAACAAATTCTTTTTGGCAACGAAGATTAGACAGCTTGCTTGTGAAGACATGGCGATCCGAAAACCAGGGTACCTAAATCAGAACCTGCTGACTTCTTTAAACCTAAAGGATCAGTTCCACTTTCCAGTGCAGGGACCGAGAAAAGTTCAATGTCGAATCCAAGAAAGACTTCCTGTATTTATATTTTCATATTGTGTGTAAATATTGTGTGAAGAATTATGACTCATTTAATTAATCTTAATTTCAAAAGCTTACGATGTTAATTGACATCAAGATATCAACTTTTACAGGCAAAATTCATATGATCGTCGTTTTAAGGATAAAGGAATGTGTTTAGAGCTCTGAATCTGTGCTACTCTAATATAAATGGTAGGAAAAGGTTAACTTTAGTTGAAGTCTCATGTCTCTACGACCTTTACTGAGCAATGGTTGAGACGCGACCGCGCCTTAAAATGGAGGCGCAGAGACATGTTGATGCTAAGGTCGTAGAGACATGAGACCTTGACTAAAGTTAACCTTTTTATCACATTTATATTACACTCCATTGCTTTCGGGACCCTATCTAGACGTTTAAAGGTCAAAAACGGCAATTTTAAGAATTTTACCTGTATAAGCACCTCAAAAAATTAGGGCGTGGCATGTGCAGTCCCATCCCAGACGAGTTGGACCAAAAAAATTTTTTTGGGGGTGTTTTAGCCATGGGATCAAAGTTTGAGCTTATACTCAGCAAAATTTGAGAAATTTTGGTTTTTTTGAACCAACCTATTAACCAAGATAGCGCAGACCGATTTTGGATTTCAACTTTGATATGAACCCACTGTGCAAAAGTAACCAATCATAATTGTTTTTGAAAGTGAACTCCAAAAACCTTTTGTTTGTGTGAAAGCTAATCTAATTTACAAAATGTATCTTTTTGTATGTCCCTTTCATCCTGTCGCAGTTCTCTGTCGAACTTCAGTACGTGTCGTACTAGAGTGCAGGTAACGTACTCTAGTTCGACAGAGTCGGACTTTAGGGTTTGTTGAACTAGGGTACTCGTCCGACTAGGGTACGTGTCGAACTAAAAAAGGTAAGAAGGTACATGGTTCCATTGATCAAACTATTCAAAACAAATTAACGAAAAACGGTCCGCTAAAGCTACAAACTCATTGTGTCAGTATAAAGTATGAGTCATATAGGGCATAGGCACCTTATACCTACAATAATTGACTGATTGACTTTTCGAGGTAAGGTGGTACTCAAACAAAAAACACGAACAGATGTAAGTTGTTTTCTTGGGTAAATTTCTATTGATCCCGTTTGTAAGTTGGTATTTAAATAAAAAACACGACAAATTGGAGAAAACAGTTAACAACACTGATAATACTGTAATCATTGTCCCATGTGTGTAAATTCCTTATACTCTGTTCTTAGCGCTTTATTGGATTAGACTCAGGAATTAGGGCTTATAAATATATACGACAAGGAAAGTTTCAGCGGCTAACTAGGGGTCAAATAGTAGTGAAATACAGGAATATGATATTTGTTTTATGTCCCATGATGTTGAATATAACTTAAGATATTGATAGATGCGAATAATGATAATGTAAGAGAGCAATTTATAAGTTTATTATTACAATTTATAAGTTTATTATTTTATGCGGACCTATGAGACTAAAGCAATTTTACATTTCACGTAACATTATCCGCTATTTTGCTGATATTTCCACGGAAAAACTTACTAAGAGACTAAAAATGTAATAATACAACTCACCTATTCCGTTAAAGTATTAACAACACGTCCCTCTTAGCTGCTAGGAGCTGTGAAAGGTACCACTTTATATTCAGAATAATAGGACTCCTGTAAGTCTGTAGTGTCCTGATAACTTCACTCCCGATCTGAACCTGAACAATGAAAATTCAACAATGCCATACAACGATTGTTCGAATTCAAATGATTTCTTGACTTAATTTTAAAGTTTTTAGGTATTGAACGGATCGTGGAAAGATTCAAGAAGCTTTCCTGAAAAAGCGATCACATTACATATTATGTTCGATTGTTGTAAGATTAGTTTAAAACAAAAAGTTGTCCCACATCAACTAAGTAAGAATAAAATCATGAAATTATTGCTAACACCTTCTAATCAAGTCTCTACGCCTTGATGATTTCCCTCACCAACAAGCCCACTTGATCAGGGTTTGATATTAAAATGACTGTAAAAAGTGTCTTCATTAAAATTTCATTTGAATTAGCCAGATCTCAGAGAGTGGTCCCTAATTTTAAATTAATGTTTGCTATGAGAATGATAGCGTCTAATTTCTTGAAATAACTGACTTTTTTTGTTTACAAAGGGTATGTCAATTGTCAACCTTTTATCGGCCACATAGAATTGGTGCAACCAGGGTTCTACACACTGTCAGTTGTCACACACATTGTCACACATTGTCACACATTGTCACACACATTGTCACACATTGTCACACATTGTCACACATTGTCACACATTGTCACACATTGTCACACATTGTCACGCATTGTCACACAATGTCACACATTGTCACACATTGTCACACAATGTCACACATTGTCACACATTGTCACATATTGTCACACATTGTCACAAATTGTCACACATTGTCACACATTGTCACACATTGTCACACAATGTCACACATTGTCACACATTGTCACACATTGTCACACATTGTCACACAATGTCACACAATGTCACACATTGTCACACATTGTCACACATTGTCACACATTGTCACACATTGTCACACATTGTCACACATTGTCACACATTGTCACACATTGTCACACATTGTCACACATTGTCACACATTGTCACACATTGTCACACATTCTCACACATTCTCACACATTGTCACTCAATGGACAATTAATAATCGTAGATTTAAGAGATTTGGTTGGGGAGGCGGGTTATCGTTGTGAAGTACTGTACTACTCACGAAGTCCTGTACACGATGTTTTCAACCCACGAGTCAGAGAGCAAGCTCAACTGACGGCTCCCAGATGGCGTATGCACATGTAGGTGAATCGG